GTGTGTGTGTGTGAGTGTGTGAACGCACGCAGTGAGACCAAAGTGTGTGTTCAGCATTTTCATTACTTATTTACAGTCATGGCTCTGTAAATCTGGGCTCTCTGATTGGCTTGTGCACCGCTGACCGGTTTAAGGCGTCATCAGTCTCTCTCTCTCTCTGTGTGCTGCTGGGGCGAGCGAGATGCCCTTGTGTCATAAAGCAACCTGATCTCACTGCAGCATCAGCATCAGCATCAGCATCAGCAGCTCCAGCGAGACGATGGACCTCCCGACACACCGCTGCAGCTGCGTGTGTCTGCTGCGTCACGGATGTGAGGATTCACACGGGAACCCAGAGCACCTGCGCCCGAGAGCTGCACGCGTGTGCGCTGCATGCGTGCCCGTTGCCATGGCGATAAGTGTGGGCTGAGAGGATGGAGGCTGCGTGTGGCGGGTCGTCCTCTGACGGGACGGTGGAGCTCTGGGAGGCTCTGGAGTTCATCAGCGGATGTGGAGAGGACGAAGGAACACGGCTGGACTCATTAGAGCTCGCGCAGGTCCGCTTCTGCGTAACCCTGACCTAACTAGCCGTTCATCCAGACACAAACAGGCTAGTGATCCGGCGCTTCCGTTTGACGTCTGACTCTGCTTTATCTGGATGTTCTGGGGTCCATGTGGATGCAGTGCAGTGTTATTTCAGTAGCATATTATAGTATATTATGAGTTTTAGAGTGTTATTTCTGGTTTAGTTTGAATAATTGTAGTACTTTACCTTTAATTAGAAATGCCGCTGTGGCAGCTTAATGTATAACTGGAAGTAGTTTTCTTTATTTCAGTAAAGTTTGTTTCATTTAATGTCAATGATTTTTAATAGATTTAGTTAATGATTATATTATGATTTCATTTTGTTTTTGTTGGTTTTATTAGTAAAAAAAAAAAAAAAGTTTTTATTCTTTATTATTTTAGTTTAGTAATTCAACTTAAACTAATAAAACATTTAAATGCTGCCTTGGCAATTAACTGGAATATATATTGAAAGTATAACTATACGTTTATTTTTTTTAGCTATCATACATGTTTTAGTTACCAATAATATTGATGTGATTTAATTTTGTTGTGTATTAGTTTCATTTGATTTTATTTAATGTAATTCATTTAAAAACTTAGTCATTTTAGTGCTACAACTTAATCTCAGCAAAAATGATAACACTTGCATTGGCAGCTAACCGTATTATCTGCTGAAAATATAATGAAGTTTTTAGAGATATTTCAGTTTTTCAATAGTTTATTTAATGATAACCGTCAGAATGAAAGCAGTCTAGACTAATTTGCAATATTTATAATTAGTTTTTATTGTAAACGTTTACATTACAATTCAATTTTCTCCCACGTTTTGTGCCGCTGATGAAGAATGATAAACCAGGGAGGAAAACAGTGGTTTATGAAGCTGCATTTCCCATCATTCCCAGTCTGCAGAAGAAGAATAAAACACACAGCAGCAGCAGCAGATGTGTGTCATGTTCATCATAATGATTCCTGAACAATGAGCTTCGTCTCCTCGCTCCTCCGATCTCACTGATCTGTCTGATAGCATGCGTGAAGCCGGTCGCAGGGAAGCGTTGTGTGCTGCTGAGTTTGATGAGGTTTGTGTGTGTGTGGTTTCTCCTGCGTCTCCAGCACGATCAGCTGTACACATGGGCAGCCGTCAGTCAGCCGCCTCCATCTCTGGAGCATCTGGAGGGACACCTGAAGAACCTGTGGCCCACGACCAGACCAGGAGCCGAGGACCGGCCCCAACCCAAATACACCGAGGATGGTATGAAGACACACTCTCTCATACACACACACACACACACACACACACACACAGGTTTGTTTTTGTGAAAAGTGGGGACATCC